ATGGCGACATCACTAGCAGTGCCAAAAATCATATGAAATGCATATGCATACAACATTACTTAAGCACATGCAAACATATTAAACTTAACATCTTTTTCTTTGTTAACCATTATGGGAAAGTAAATGAATACAATTACAATGTCTAATGTAGGGAGCTTTCTAGAAAATATATTAATAGCTACATCACTGTGTACCAGTATTAGGAGTAAAGCCAAAATAAAATGTAAATAAAATCCATCAAAATTTTTTCCTGTTTTCATTAATAGTCTTATCAACTCATTCTCAATAACAACTGCTAAACCTGTAATGCCCTCCTGAGAATCCAAAATACTTTGTTGCTTTGAAAAAGGATGAATCTCCAAAAATGTCATGTTTTCTTTTTTTAAACTTTAATAGCAATTCTAGTGATTTAGATCTGAAAACATGTATATAACAATCTTATAAACAATATGGTTAAGCTCAGTGGTGGCTCTACTGCTTTACCTTGTCTGGCTGAGTAAAGGTGCCAGCGTTGCAGGGCGTTCGTGGGTCCCACAGTCGAACTGATCTATCCCAGCTACCTGTTACCATGACATTAACTTCTGGGCAGTACTCTACACAACGAATGGCAGCATCATGTGTTCCAACAATTGTGTCTGTTTAAAGAGAAGAAACCAGCAGAATATAGATGAAAGCATTCCAACAAATTTGTTTTACTACTGGAAGTTTTTAATCCACCTACGAGATTAGTAACATACCTTGGTCTGTGTTCAAATCATGCATTTTTAACTGTGCATCTAAACCTCCACTCCAAGAATGTGTTGGATCCTGAAAGTTAAAGGTTTTATCATTTGAGCACACCAGACTTCAAGGCTATAACATAACAAGAAGAAACCTAAGCAGAAAATATGTGACCTACATAAAATGCACAATCCAGAACTGGAGCCGTGTGCTGGTACTTCATTCGCATGGTGTTGCCTCCCACGTCATAGAGACGGACAGTGCAGTCCCAAGAGGAAACCAGGAGAAACTGGGCTGTGCTGGAACTGAACTTGACAGCAGAGATGCCATCCTCTGGTCCCTGATTGAGCTTGTACTCGTTTGAGCCTGTCATCTGCAGCAGAGAAAAATGAGCAGGCGATTTCAACTTTAATAGTAATCAACCCTGCAAGGTGTTTTAATGCAACCTAACTGACATTTAGACTGGAATCACAACAGGACACAACAGAGGTCAAACATTATAAACTGGGCTGTTAATTTCGATCTAACTGCCCAGTTTTAAATACTGCTCCACTATGAACATCTATGACACTGTCAAAACACATATTTTATTCATTTCCTCATTCATTTGGAAAAAAATGTCTGTACAGAAATTTTTAACACTTTATTGGGCAAGGAGCTATATTTGGTAACTTAATAGCCAACATTAGCACCCCAATGCTTCATATTGAAATTGTAGAGCCATGGATTCCTCCCAGTGAGTCAGCAAAGATCAGGTCATTCATATATATATATATATATATAGTTCCAGTTGTATAGTTGTGATAGAAGTTGAGATAGGTGTTGTTTGTTTAGGATTTCTAGAAATTTGAGACGTGTGTGGCATAAAAACTGTAGCAACATATTTGATCATATGACCTGTTCACCTGAAACTGGTACAAGGGATGTCAAGTCCATTTTAGACATACACCGGATGTATCTAGCAAGCCATACTTGTGTTATGAAAAACAAACAAAATAAAAAACTATTATAAAGGTAGGACAGCAGATGTCAATTGTATATTGAACCTTGCCACAAGTTTGTGTAATAACATAAAGTGATTCAGTGACAAATGTATTCCACTTGACATTTTCAGGCTATAAATAGAACCACAGATGCTATATTTAGTTCATTTTATAAGCATACATCCATGTATTTTTTACCGTGAGTCTTGTTACTGCTAAAATTGACTTAGTATTTCAATATATGCGATTAATTTATTTTGGACTGAATTACATGTAAGAGAAAATAAGTGGTACCACCACTAGTTATACCATTTTTTACTCCTTGTTATACATTTACAATTTCTGCATCACCGTTTTAGATTCATTTTAGGCTTCACTGTTAATGCGCACCTTCAAAGATGGCTGGATATTTATGTTCTCTCTTTTATTTTGCATTTGTGTAGTTGGAACTTTTTTTTTTAAAGTACCATGCCGTATATAAACCCTAGATCCAGGTGGATACACGTGGAGCGAAAAAACTTAAATTGTTGCTGAAAATGATAAATATTTAGTTACAATGTCTTATTGGAAATTATGTCACCTTACAGAAGCTTCAAGTATCATAAGGCCTGTGACAGAACAGGACTGCTGTTATCGTTGTGACAAATGCCAGTATTATTCAAGATAAAAATGTTTCCCTAAAATCTCTAAGTTTTTCCAGTACTTTATTTTATAGACACACTTTTTGGAAACATGTTTACCTAAGATGGGGAGAAGTCATTATACTGATTGTGATTTGCAACACAACGTGCTCCAATGACACTTCAGATTTGAAATTTTGAATTTCCACGTCTTTCAGTGACTCCCTTATAAAGGGTTACTATTACTTAGAAGTTATTAGTGGCTTCAGTGAAAACCAAACATGCGTTTTCATACACATTATAAAGCTACATAAATTCCCTGGTCGCAAACACAGCCTAACAGCAGTTGGTTAAAGGCTTTGTTGCTTGTTTTCAATGCAGCCCACCGACAGAATACCCGCCCCAAATAGTAGCTAGCAACCATATAAACTAAAATACATGTTTATATGCCTTTCTGTCAGTTGAATGACTGCGCTACTTGAGACTTTATAACCGCATTACTTTTTGTTCCACACTGACTGGACTCATTGTTCAGTTAAATCCAGGAATTACACCAAGCCCACTACTACTCTTGCCACTGGTGTTAGCTAATGCTAGCTCGAAAGGGCAAAAGCAACGAGCACAAATGTTAGTAGTTTCACTTCACTTACCGCTTCAGTCAGATGTCGTTCGGACGTGATCAGTTGGTTTATTTGCCAAGAGCGATTATTATACCTTTTTAGTTAACTATAAAAATATATGAATATACGAGAACACAATGTGGCTGCGTGAGGATAGCTCGCTACCGACGGTCCACAAGGCGCTGATTGGTTGAAAGAAATGTTCAAGTTCGCGCCTGCGATTTCATTGGCTGAGCTGATTTCTATGGTTATTTCCGTTGTCTCAATACAGAACACGTGACATGGGTCCCTTTTCTGTCTTACGCCGTATTTCTTCCTAAGATGAATAGGCCTGATATCTATCTATCTATCTATCTATCTATCTATCTATCTATCTATGCAAGCATTTATCTGTGGTTTTACTCTAAAATCATGAAGTTGTATAGCTCATATCGTTAGCTTCATAGCATAAGTGCCTAAGTCATTTTTTGGTCACATTGAGATTTTTGCCTAACTTTACTCCCCTACCACTGCTGCATCATCCTGTCCGTCTGCCTATGTCATCACAAAAAAATGACTTAGGCACTTATGCTATGAAGCTAACGATATGTTAAATAAACAGGTAGCAGAAAAGCTGAGAGAAAAGTGAGCACATTTTGAAACAGGCACCTGTACAATGCGCCTTTTTTTGTTGTCCATTTTTTTGTTTTTGGCTTTTTGCTTTTGCTTTTTGAAGTTTGACTAGGAATTTACCACATAAATTAACCACCATAAATCAACCATATTGAGGCACATGTAATGGTATACTTTAGTTTAAGCTGCTCTCAAGCGCTATTCAATAAGGAAAATAATAAAAAAAAAGAATAATAAAATAAAGCATATAGTAACGTGATGACTTTATGAAAAATTAAGAAGGCCGGCTCTCAATCTTTCTGATTCATTTTGTAATTTAGGCTAGTACATTCTA